TTCTGATCCTGATCCTGATCCTGATGGGCTCAGTGAGCACTGTGGTATTTAAGGCTGCCCTGGATTATTATAGCTAATGCAGGGATGTTGTGTATTTCATCTGACAATGTAATCTACACAAATGTAGCCAGTGTTCATTAATCATGTAATTCAGATTAAAGTCAGCATGAACACATTTGCTCATTTCTTGCAGGCAGATGCATCTCTTCTGCTCTGTGGCTGCCATTGCTGTATATGTATGAATTATAACATGAATAAAACTTTCTAAAAAAAGAAAATCCAAGCCAAGTCATCTACATAACATTTTGCAGTTGTTCTAATAATAATAATAGTGACTTTTATTTCTTTTTATGTTTCATGTGAGTCATTGTAGCAGTTAGTTTATTATCTTTGAATCACGCCATCTAGTCGGGAACGGATCACATTACCTGGGTGGGGAGTGGAAACAACAGCTTTCTGTCTGCTGTAAAACAGCTCTCTCTATTGTGCTTCACAACTGTACAAAAAAAGAGCTTTTTTCATCAAGTTGGCACCACTTTAAGAGAACCCAGGGGAGTCATGAGGCTGGAAGAAACCAGGACAGAGTGAATGTGGTGTGAAAGATTTAATGCTGGAAAAAAAACCTTGTTTGAAACATCACTGGGGTTGTGACGACAGCAGCCACTGTCCCAGTACAGTCCAGCACACAATAATTTTGGGCAATAGGACACAGATATATAGATTCCTTATCAGGCAGGATGTTGCTTTAATAAGAACTTTAACAATATTTCCAGGTGCTGAAGAGTATAAGGACACCACAGAGAGCGATGTGAAGTCTGAAAACTACAAACTAAAACAGTGTGTGAAACTGTGAGCTTTCCAGACCTTTTAAGTCCTCCTGCAGGCCAGATTGCTACTCCGAGGCTACATTAGGCCCTGCTACTGGTAACGGTGAGCTGTTAGCAGAAGAGAGGGCCTCCTCCACAGTGATGTCAGAGACAAGATACAGTCATACAGAATATCATCACTTCAACTAAACATGGTTCTACAATCTACTGAATCGTGGGGTGTTCTTGGTTTTTCACAGACCCCTGTGAAAACATTTACGTGGCTTAAATTTTAAGTCAGTGTGGAAGTACCAAAACATGTGGTTCCTCTAATGAGACTTCAGGCTAATTTTAAAAGGCAGTGCATCTCCATACACTCCCATGTTACATGTTAAAATTCACAGGTAAGGTTGCCTTATTGGGGACACATGGTACACACTGTTTGCAATAATTAAAAACAGAAGCTTTTCATCCACTGTTGATTGACTTTTTTTTTTAATGCAGGTTAAATTTCTTCAGCCGTTGGACAGGGGACGCATTACAGGGCTGTTTGCCTGCTATCTCTTCAACAGAAGCAGAGGAAGCCAAAGAACTTTAAATGAGCTCCTTGGTTTTTCATGGCGGATTAGGAGGATGAATGAAAAGCATGTATCTGTTGGCTGCAGGCCACATGTTTGCAGCATTACTGTACATATCTTTGGCGCAGCTGGACAGTGTGCTTTTATTTGTCACAGTTTGTGACTAAATACAGCCAAATATTATGAACACACTACATTTGTTCCAAGCTGTGGTTAAATGTGTCACGCAGCAGGGTGCACAGGCTCTGGAAAGAGCAAGAATAAAAGTTTAGGAAAGGGCAGTTATAAATAAGCATTTATAAATGATGAGCCGTCGCTGATTTGTTTTTCTTTGGTCTGTTTCCACTTTGGGCTTAATAAGCATGTTGCACTTGGCTCCAACCCAAGCAGCATCAGCCAGCAGAGGGTCTCCATCAACCTTTAAAGCCACAGTCCTGCAGGAGTCCAGTGCAGGAGCTGTTTAATGGCTCCTGCACTGGAGGGTTAAAAACAAAACATGAAGACAACTGCTTGTAGAAGTTATGTGACACACCCTGTAATACACTGCAGAAATATTCTGCTTCAAATTCTGACTTATTTTATAAATGAATATCTACCAAACAGTATATAAACAATATAATAATAACAATGATCCAGATAGACTGTGTGGAAGAGGCTTCCCCTCGTCAGGAACACAAGTTGTCCTTGTGTCTGCAGCACTATGGGGGGTTTAAGCCTTTTAACTCTTAAAAAAGTAATCGTTGTACCCAATCACTGCAGCTCACAGGCGGAGCCAGTGAAGGGTAAAAGGCTGTACACGGTGTGGACGTTGTGTCAGGCCACATCTCTTACTGAGTCCAGACGTTTTCAGTCTCATTGCCACAGGTATCAACTCCAGCTTGTAGCCATGCAGCCGTTGCCAACATTTTTCAAAGAATGTGTTTTTGAATTCTGGCATGGTCCTGTAAGACGGTGCCACCAGTTTGTGAAATTTAGATGTTTCACAGTCGTTTAGGAGCAGCTTAGCCAAGAAGTGACTGATCATATAAAATTATAGAGTTTTGTTGCAGAGGTGTATAGTGCATACAAGTTGCCAACGCTCTGCTGACTCACTAACTGCAGATTTCCAAACACAAAAAGTGTGTGCCTCGAACATCATAGCAGGGTTTCCATTGCCAAACAACTCCTGTAGGTGTAATGTGTAGTTATCTATACAGTGTACTTGGGTGGTGATGCTAATAGAGCAAAAACAAGAGTGAATATTGGGTTTAAAGTAATCATCTGCATTGAAATATGATTCCAGATGATTGATGGTGTTGTTGTGATTCTGCTGGAAATAATGAACATCTTCACTATCATTCTCATTCTCATTGTATATTACAGTTTGTGTTTGTGTGTTTATAGACTTTTTTTTTTTACTGATTTAAGTCCTCATTTTCAATTTCCATGAATATTCCCAGAAATATATAAAAACAACAACAAAAGAGCTCTGAGTCAATGGTAACTGCACAGTATGTCGTGCCTGTTATAAGCTGTGGTTACTTAGAAATGGCAGTGTCTGCTACCAACTTTATTCTGGCAACAGTTCGTCTTTTAATCGTCTTCTTTGTTACACGAAGTTAAAACACCTTTAACACACCTGACACTAATGTGAGTCAAAGTTGTATTCTGTTTACATTATACATGCTTCCCTTAGGCAGCATCATTAGAAGACATAGCATACATTTTCACTGCTATGCTGATGACACCCAGCTCTATCTATCTATGAAGCCAGATAACACACACCAATTAGTTAAACTGCAGGAATGTCTTAAAGACATAAAGACCTGGATGGCTGCTAACTTTCTGCTTCTTAATTCAGATCAAACTGAGGTTATTGTACTTGGCCCCGAAAATCTTAGAAATATGGTATCTAACCAGATTCTTACTCTGGATGGCGTTACCTTGGCCTCCAGTAATGCTGTGAGGAACCTTGGAGTCATTTTTGACCAGGACATGTCCTTCAATGCACATATTAAACAAATATTCAAAGGAGCTTGCAAAGAAAAGCGTCTGGACTTCTTTAAGTTGCTTGAAGACGTTTCACCTCTCATCCAAGAAGCTTCTTCAGTTCTAAGGTCAAATGGTGGAGAGTCCCAGATATAAACCTAGTGGGAGTTTCCCCCCACAGAGGCACAAAAGGACCCCCTGATGATCCTCTAATCGCCTGAGCCAAGGTGTGGAACTGGGTGTGGGTCCCAATCAGTCAGAGTTTCGGGTGAGCTCATTGTGAAACCTGGCCCCACCTTATCATGCGAATTCCTGAGATCAGATGGCCCAGGATGTGAGTGGGCGTTAAGGCGTCTGGGAAGGGATCTCAAAACTGGATTATAGATGGCAGAGAGTTGGTGTCGTAAACCCCCGCCTCTGTTCAAAGATGGTCGCTCACAGTGGACATAGATGGCTTCTTTCACTCCTCTTTCAAACCATCTGTCCTCTCTGTCCAAAATGTGAACATTGGCATCCTTGAAAGGGAGAGAGCAGATTTATCCTGTTTTGGCTCCCTGTTAAATCCAGAATTCAAAATCCTGCTCCTCACATACAAGGTGTTAAATAATCAGGCCCCATCTTATCTTAATGACCTTGTAGTACCATATCACCCTATTAGAGCACTTCGCTCTCGCTCTGCAGGCCTACTTGTTGTTCCTAGAGTATTTAAAAGTAGAATGGGAGGCAGAGCCTTCAGTTTTCAGGCCCCTCTTCTGTGGAACCAGCTTCCAGTTTGGATTCGGGAGACAGACACTATCTCTACTTTTAAGATTAGGCTTCAAACTTTCCTTTTTGCTAAAGCATATAGTTAGGGCTGGACCAGGTGACCCTGGATCCTCCCTTAGTTATGCTGCAATAGACGTAGGCTGCTGGGGGATTCCCATGATGCATTGAGTTTTTCCTTTCCAGTCACCTTTCTCACTCACTATGTATTAATAGACCTCTGCATTGAATCATATCTGTTATTAACCTCTGTCTCTCTTCCACAGCATGTCTTTATCCTGTCTTCCTTCTCTCACCCCAACCGGTCGCAGCAGATGGCCCCACCCCTCCCTGAGCCTGGTTCTGCCGGAGGTTTCTTCCTGTTAAAAGGGAGTTTTTCCTTCCCACTGTCGCCAAAATGCTTGCTCATAGGGGGTCATATGATTGTTGGGGTTTTCTCTATATCTATTATTATAGGATATACTGTACAATATAAAGCGCCTTGGGGCGACTGTTGTTGTGATTTGACGCTATATAAATAAAACTGAATTGAATTGAAGTTTCTACACAAACAAATAAAACATTATACTTTTAAGGCTTTTCCCAAGTTTGAAACCTCCTATTTACGTATGCATTCTCCACTGGCCCGAAAGGCCTCTGAAACCAGAATAAATGTGTATCGTTACTGGACACACTCCAGCTACATTGAAGAGCTTGAATTTGCACAGTGCTGTCCTTCCAGCTGAGCAAACTTCCTGTGTAGTGTAATGGCTGCAGTGCCAATAAAAACGAATCCAAACAAGCTTTATACAACATGTTCTCATCTCCAATATAAAAACACACAGTAACCTGAATGACAAAGGGCGAGCGACACGGACCAAGAAATAACAAAAAAAAACAAATTATATGTTGACGTGTTTATTGAAGATGAAACATTTACATTAAACACAACATATTCAGTACTGTCAGCAGTACAAAATCCATGCTTATCCTCAGGCGACAACTGTTTAACAACAGCTATGACTATAAATGAAAGGGTTGGTTTATGGGAGCTGTGCTGAAGGATGTGTTTGGCCCTGCAGAGGTGACAAACTAAAGGAGAGCCCTGGGCGGTTTAGATGCACTTGAGGAGGTAGGAGTTGCAGTTGGCTCCTCTTCCACAGTCGCAGAGCTTCCCGATGCGAGGCCCGTACTTCATGGCACACCGGTTCCCCAACCCGCACTGAGGGGAACAGGAAGACACAGACTTGTTACTCTGAGCGAGTTTACTTATTTATCTTTGAATGTGGAAACAGCTGCAAAAAGAACTATGAGCTTTCACATCTTTTTATTCTGTTATTTGCGCACAAAAACTTCATTACTTTGCGAACAGTTATTCAATTTATTTAACAGAAAGAAGAAGATGAATCATTCTTCAGCGCTGTAATTAAATGCCATCCATTACCTCCAGCTGGGCCTGTAGGAAACAGGCTGACTTATTTTGTGTGAGGAGACAGGAGGATTGAAAGCTGTTTGCAGCTTTCCAGTTTCCCTCTCTCAGCTAATTGGAGTTGGGCAGCAGCCTTGATTAGTCTGTAATTGCACTGAATGAAAGAGTGTTGTTGGCATTCCCTTGTTATCTTTTAATTACTGGCAGGTATATTTTCCATACGCTTTAATTAAACAGCAGTGGAGTGATGTACGCAGTACATATTAATGACTCGTCTTACAAGCCGAGACTAAATGATGTCCTTAGAGCCACAGTGCATTAATGTTAAAACTTGGGGGGGGGGGGGCAGGGGGGGGGGTGACGTTTACCAGTGGGATGCTTCCTCTTTTCTCAGGGGAGACTTGATTATGGTTTCTGCCCAGGAGCACGTCCAGTGCCTCTAGCTGCTCGGCACAGAACAACAGAAAAAGTTTGATTTAAATAACACTCATCCACTTTTTTATACTTTTGCACATTTATTCGTGCTCAAACTTTTTAATGAAGCCGGAAGATACACAATAAAGACAAAAGTGTCAAACTAACTGTGATAGAGTGTTAACGCTACACTATGAGCTGTGTTACCCTTTCAGTCAGTTTCACTCAGGTTAGAGTTAAATGTTAAACGTGTTAGCATTTGTAACACTGCACTGTCAGCGTTATTCATGTTAATAACACAATTATGTTACAGAGTTACTACTAAGACTACAGTGAGATACTTTTTTGATACTGTAACTTTATTCCAGCAAACTAAAACATGTCCAGGTTCATTTGAATCATATGAATCATGCATTTATGAGTTTATATGTTTGCAGTTGAAAAAACAATTAAACACATGACAAAGGATACAAATGCAATTAAATAGAAAGAACGCAATTTACTAAATTTCAACTGAACTCTCTGAAAAGCTGTAGGCTAAAGCTTTTGTTTATTATGCTTATCATGCTTACACATATGCTAAATGGCAAAACGTTCATAACTAACCACAGCAAAAACTTATGATGATAAACAGGCAAAACAGACAAAAGTGACCATTATAATCACCTCTCAGTTTGACGTTATTTACAGCGTGACTATTAATATAACGAGCCGTTGTGCAGTACATGTGTTGATAATTTAATTTAACTTTTTTTTTCTTTCTATTAAAAAAAAATACTTCATCATTATTCACGGATCAAAGAAAAACATGGTTCTAATTATTGACAACGTGAGCCATCATTTTGGCCACCAGAAACCACCGAGGATCAAGTAAATCACACTTAAGTTTCACGAAAAAATAATAAAAAAAACCTGTGATGTGCAGCTGCATCCCCACTGAAACCCAAAGACATACAGCAGACAGAAAAGCAGCTGATGTGACAGTTAACAGTTGCTGTCATAGGAAATCCGGGAATATTGCATAAGTCTGCAAACTTTTACTTCTGTTTATTCTGATTGTGTTTAAGCAGCGTGGAAGAGAGAGAATCGCATGCAAATGAAATGCGCTTTATTTGGATCCTACGTGTTTATGTTGATTTGAGTATTTGTGCCTCACAAACAGTTTATACCTCACACGTAGTTTACAGCATCCGTCCAGAATTCTGAGTTTGTACTCAAAACGATATTTTCTTTTCTTAGTTATTTGGCGTCTCTCAGCTTTATCATTAAACTGCTCCCTCCCTCACTGTGGCCTTCCTCCATAAACTCACAGCTCTGCAGATACTCACCAGGTCTCTGTCTACAGCTGCTTCTTGTTTCTTCTCTCCAAAGTCTTCTGCGGAGACTTCCCGTGATGCCTGGCCGTGGCACAGGACGGACAGCAGGCCGACGAGCAGCAGTCCGCGGAGCATCCCGGAGCTATCCATGGTGCTGGTGGCGGTGAAGCGGGAGGGCGGAGGTCCCAGTGGGAGGCAGCAGATTAGAGGCTGAGGAGCACAGTGTCGCAGCAGGTCCACAGGTGACTCTCCCTCCACCCTCCGGACCATGTCCCCTCTTATACCGGTTCACACAGCCCCGCCCGGGAGGCCGCTGCGAGACTACCATACCGGAAAGTACTGAAGGGGGGGGGGGCAGAAGCACGAGAAGCCCACTCTCCTCCCTCTTTTGTTTAGACCACGAGGAACTCACAAATCATGTGTAAACACACACACATACACACACACACGTTTAAATGTCTAGAAACCTCATCCCTCCAGCAGTTAGCTCACAGGTGAGATGATTACCTGCTTACTTCATTTCCTGTGTGATAAAGGAAGGAGGGGTTTTCATTCTGAACGTCTTTGCCCATCAAAATAACTTTTACTGTTTTGTAGCACCGCCATGTATCACAACGAAGTTATCATTTAGCCACATAAAATTCCATCCTGAATAAAATATTCATATTTTAAATATTTATTTTCATATGAATTGTGTTGTAGGGCAGGTACTTATATATAAATATATATTTTAGATTACATCAGAAAACATCACACACAGTTGAGAGAATTACCTTCAACACCACTGTGTGTAAAACTGCCACTTCTGCATTCTTACTTCAAGTCTAACAAACACAAGTAAGAAATTCTTCCTCGGTAAGAAGAGCAGAAGCGTTTTCATGGAGCTGTGGCCTGAAACGGCCCTATGAGTTTAAACAAATAGTTTTTAAAAACTCCCTGGATCAAACTGTTATGGCTGGATTATTTCTCCTTAACTCTTTAGGCAGAGGTGAGCAGTGTTACAGTTTATATCCCTGCTTCCACCCCGCAGAAGCCCTCAGTCTCCTCCCAGTCACCTGTAAGACACACGCACACCACCTTATCCCAGTTTCTCTACCTGCACCTCACTCATCATTCCTTTGTTTCCTGTAAACTCACCTCTCACTCTCAAACATGTTTAGTCGCCTGTCTACCAACCTGACTGCCACCCAGCAAGATCATTTTTTAAATAATAATTTGCGGAGTGCATCAGAGCAGTGACAGTACAAGAAGCAATACAAATGTACAGCAAATGTTAGAGGCTGAGAAGCAGAAGCAAAAATGAGAGCCTCTGTGTGTGTGTGTGTGTGTGTGTGTGTGTGTGTGTGTGTGTGTGTGTGTGTGTGTGTGTGTG